TAAAGGCATTTGTGATATGCATATACGCTTATCCTGTTATTACACCCGCGGTTGAAACTCACTTTCGCATTAAAAAATATTAAAAAAATCATCTCCACTCACATTTCCCACTGAGAACTCGCTTTTTGCATAAAATATTTTTTTTTACACTTTACTTGATATACATATTATTATACACATTAGGGTGGTTACATTTTATTTTATTTAATTTTTTATATGTATCTCTGAAAAACATTTTCTTAGACACCGCTACAAAAATATCTCTTTATTGTAACAAGAAGGTCCTCCACTTTATATTTTTTTATATTTTTATCTTATAATCAGATATAAAAATGCATATTTCGCTGCCAAATACTTAAGAAATATCTTGGTTCACATATTTTATAAGAAAGTTGGTGTCACATAATGTTTTTTATCGATTAAGTTGAGCGTTTACGAGATATCTATCGTAAGAATTAACTTTGTCACCAAATACTAACTAGTGCTCATAGGAATAGTAACCAACTAGTTACGGAATGATGAAAAAAAAAAAAAAAAATAAATGAAAATTATTTTCAATAACAAAAAAAAATTAAAATTTAGAAATTAATAGATTTTGAGCAATATTTGTAGCAAAAATGTGAAGAAAAGAGCATATATGTATGTAGGAACGTCAAAAGACAGACTTCCATCTTTAAGCCTACTGCATCGAAATATTACCAAACAAATAAAACACTGCTCTATAACAAAACTCTATATGTATATRGATGTATATTTAAAAGTACCAGAGGCATATGGAGAAAATCTTTAGAAAGTGAACAAAGGATTGTTAGGATTGGGTACTAAGACCAAGTAAACGCTAGCCTTTCAGCTGTTCGGTGCACAATTAAATATTTTAAACATCTTAAGTCCTCTATCAAAACAATTAAAAATAAACCACCTTTCTTCTAAAAAAGTAGTCACCTTATGTATTTTTATATAGAGATAAAGCTAAAATGAACTCTTTGAGCATGATAATTGACTTTTCCAAGACAATGTTTGAAAACACTCACTTCASTTAAAATTATATATGAATCTGAAAATTATCCTTGAAGTATCACGTTTAAGTTTAACAGGCCTATTCTTATAAATTTTTATTTAATTGAAATGAAAATAACAGTTGTTAGTAGAGTACTAACGCAAGTACGGGTGCGCAATAGCTCGGAGTACCGTTATTTTCGTGCAAGCTRCAGCTAGCCAGACGGCGCCAGTCARCTTGCCTGCTGYGATCATTTTGCGCATTGTCCTTAAGGGGTCAGTAGGGTAATCTTTTTCGATTTTTTTTTTTGCATTTTCTGTTTCCTTATACAAATGGAATAGAATTAATGTAGAAACCCACTTTACCATTTGAAGGTTTCGAAAAAAGCCAAAAATATAATATACCGGAGACGTTCGCGGGACGATAACCATTCACGTACTTCTTAAGAATAAATTGGGTTTTTGTGTTTCAGCTGATCCAAACAAGAGCAATCGTGTCCGGCAGTGAAAAAACGCATCTCTTTCACCTAGCCATTTCTCTGACAAATCTCATCGCAAAAATTCCGAAAAATTCTTTTTATACACTCCACGATATACCTCATGATATGTGAAAAAGGTTCTATTATAGAATAAAAATATCTATGAAAAAAATGCAAAAAAAAGGCCAGATTACCCTAATGATCCCTTAAAAAACGCTGAGTTTGTTGGAATTGAGTTGTTGAGAGCCAAAGTGACTCAAGAGMGCAACGGYGTGACGATCAGTGGTGTAGAAAATTGAATTAGCTTCATTATGGTGTAAGCCGAAAACAGAGTTCAACTGGTTCAGTTCTTCTTAAATAGTGTTGGGACAAGTGTACTTATATACTTAATATACATACATATTTAAAAAATATAGTATAATATACATTCATACATTAGGTTTGAAATATCGGAAAACAGTTGTGTTTGATTATTGTTGCTGCACATTATTGCAATAACGGGGTAAGCATAAAAATTATTTACGGTTTCTAGTGAAGTGTAACAGAAAAGGAGGCTTCGGCTGGGATTTAGAATAGCATCCCSGGATTTCGGGAATAAAATGGGTATCACTGGAAAGGTGACATTCTCCAGATCACGAAAATATATATATATATACTATATCTGCGCCGCGCTTCAAAAAAAAAAACTATGTCAACCCTTTTCTTATTGTGCAAATACAGAGAATTTAACTAAAATAAAATAATTAAAATAAAGCTTTACTTACAACAAATATTAAAAAAATTAATATACAGAAACCTCATAGTGAAGTATTAGTAAGTGAAAAGTGCATAATATAAGTGAAAAAGCTATTCGCAATATACAAATTATCAATGTAAAAGTTGTCAATTTTTCAACTTTAAATGTATATAATGTACATATGTATATATATTTTCGTAATCTGGAGAACATCATCTATTTTATTCCCGCAATCCGGGGATGCTATTCTAAATCCCAGCCCATCTTTTTGTTTGCTTTCCACTCGTAGAGGTTCTGGAACGTTCGTTTAGAAGCTGCGATCACTACTAAGAAAGTATTGCGGTTAGCTTATTGTGAGGCACTGAGTTCAACGCGCCACCAAAGTWGCAAAGGTAAGGTCACAGTCACTGACCGGGCGCAGATATAGCGCTTACCAGACAACTTGAAAACGAACTTCCAGTACATTTAACCAGTTATTTGTAATATTTTATTAAATATATCATTTTTCTTATTACAAAAGGAAAGTTGAGTAACTAATAATGGCCACGAGTTGTGCTCAAACACTTGCTCCACAGAATAACTCCAGTGAGSTGAACCGCTTCATGGAGAAATTAATGAAGAAATTACTTAGCTTCTACTACGAACAGTCTCTAATCGATGTGACATTTAAAGTATCAAACCCAACGGCTGTGTAAGTATTACTTTGTTCTGAGCTTACATAAAATGGGCTATGTTCGTAAATGCATCATGACTTGCAGCATAAGCAACAGTAGCAACACTGCAAGTTTGACGTGTGATACTTCTTATACAATTTTTGTCAATTTGCAGATACATTTGTTTGCATTTTTGAACGCGTATAATACTAAAATGGAAATTTTGCTGAATCTAACACTAGACGAAATTTGTGAGCAAAGAAATGGTAGATTTTCTTTAAATTTAAGAAAAAAAAAGGGTTTTGAAGTCAAAAAGAAAAATTTGTAGGCACAAATGTTTGTCTTTAAAAAGAAAAATACCTAAAAACAAATTATTTATTAAAACAATAAAGTCGTTTCCCGAGGACATTTTCTATTGCCATTTCCGAATGAATTGGGCCACTTTTAAGGTAAGGTTTTATAAGTTTTATGAAAATTAATAATTTATAGTTTCACTTTTCTTAATGCGCTTGTACTTTACCAAGAGATTTAAGAATTTTCTCTGCGCTGTGGTGCTGTCCAGTCTTATATGTGGATTTACCTTTTTAACTTCGGTCACAACTTTCTTCCACAATACATTTTTTTTTCCTTCTACCCGATTTAAACTCGTCCTCCATACTCAACCGTACCATCAGAAATAACTGTCTCCGCATTACTGAGATTTTCACTAAAAATTTAAAAATAATAATTTATACAATTATTATTAACATAATTTACCAAAGTTTCAATACAAAAATTAAAATAAAACAGTTTTGCACTTACTTTTCGTCAGACATCGTAGTTAAATGCAGTAAACAATTTTTTGATAGAAATTATGAGTGACAGCTGATAGAAGTAGTTTTGTCTTTTTGAACGCTTRATTATTGCAGTGCTGCAATATTGGCATTTCTGAACGTTCTGTTTGTTAGGCAATCGTCATGATGCGCATCATGATGCATTTACGAACATAGCCCATTTTATGTAAGCTCAGGACAGGATATTTATAATTTTTGGATGGCACAGTGTACCCGCGCATCGTTTGATACTCGCAGCAGCGAGTCCYTACTTCGAGAACCTTTTCAATGGCGAGCAAGGCAATAATCCCGTCATCGAGATAAATGATATCGATAGCGATATTTTTGAGCGTCTAATAATCTTTTGTTACACCGGAGAGGCCCTCATTACCGTTAACAACGTCGGTGCCTGGTTAAAAGCGGCACTCATTTTGCAATTGGATGATGCCATAAATCGTTGTGTTGACTACATCATAACACATATCAATGAATATACGTTGCAGGCTGCTAATGTGCTTGAACGAGAAACGAAATGTGAACGGCTTAAGCAAAAAATAATCGAATATGTAATAAAGAATTTCATGGAGGTGAGTATAATGAATCACAAGAGCGGTACTTGTGTAATCGTTTGTTTCTTACAATACCAGGTTAGTCGATGCGTTGAGTTTCTGAGTTTTGATGTAGAAAAATTGCAACGAATTCTGGAATCTGACAATTTGAATATAACTCTTGAGGAAGATGCCTACGATGCCATAAAACGATGGGTCAATTACGATGTTCCTGCACGTCAAGAGCAACTACCAATTTTAATACCTTGTCTCCGGCTTACTCAAATCGATGCGGACTTTCTGTGGACACACATACATCCGTTACCTGGTTGTGAACTGCTGACCCTACGGACGATAACGTGGATCAGAGAGTCTGCGGCACGAACAAGAATAAATATGCGATTCACAGAAGCACGTGCTACGTGTGAGAAAACATTCCTGGCAGTTTGCTCATTAGGGGTAAGTGAACAATGCGGCCAATATTCATAAATTATAACCTTAAATTATTCTASGCCTAATATTTTTGAAATAGAAAAATACACAGCTGCTACAATATAACAAAGCTGGGGATAAGTGGGAGGAAAATGCGAGTTTAGAAATCGATTACACAGATTATGAGGCGAGTTTAAAGGATGATAATTTAATATTTATTGGCGGTTGGAAAAGTGGTGCCACATCCAACATCGTCCGGAGCTGGAATATACGAAATAAAACATGGCAAAATTTGTCCGCCATGAACCAAGCAAGAGACTCACACTGTGCTGTCGAATTAGATGGTAAAATCTACGCGATTGGTGGTTTAGAAGGTGAAAAGGTTCTGTCGTCGGTGGAAAGGTAAATATATATAAATCTGTATTGGATTACCTTACGATGGCGGTTGTGAGCTTCAGCAATTTCAGATTAACTTTAACTTTAGTGATGAAATGATTGGAGATAAGTTGCTTTAGAATAATGTGGATGATGTACAATATAAAGTACTTACACATATATTTAGTAAAGGGGGTATTGTCAAGGCACATGCTCCTAAGATCTCAACTGCGAAAACCTTATAAAGTAAAATCTAGAAATGTTTTAGAGTTGCTTCTTGCCTTAAAGTACACCCACACCATCTCTCACTGCCAGCGACTTCTTTAGAATACTTCAAGTTTTTAAATCAGACAATTTCTTAGTTGACGCTCATTAGCCTAACAAATGCAAAGCTTTTCATATCAATTTAGATATCATATTTAGAACTCATGTTTTTTGTTGATATCCAGATATACGCTATACGCTGGTTGGGAGCCCGTGAGCAGCTTGATCGTTGGAAGATATAGTGCCAGAGCAGTGACTTTAAATAACAAAATTTATATAGTGGGCGGTAAAAATACTGCTGGACATTTAAAACTCGTCGAATGCTATAATCCGGATTCGAATACTTGGACWTCTTGCGCGGCTATGACAGAATGTTATATTCTTCCTAATGTAAGTCAGGTTAAAATATAATGTTTGATATATTGCTAGATTGTACATTACAGGTAAAAGTATATAATGGTCATATATATGTTTTACACAAGTATTATGCTAACAGTGGACAAATTGTTGAACGTTATGATCCTCAGCGAAACACCTGGTCTAAGGTAAATTAAGTTGATTTTTGCCAATCGTTTGGTTTCAAACTGCATATTTTGCGCAGATTTGTTGTTTGGATGCTGACTGGGCTCGTATAGAAGGTACGTGGTTAGACAATAAGCTATACTGTTTTGGTCCCCCTACATCTGATGACATATCAAGTGTATCGGTCTATGACGAGGACAATGACCGTTGGGTAAAAAAGTGTTCATTACCCAATGTAAATGGTTATCGCCGTTTTATTGTGCCCGTGACCTTAGTGTTAATGAAATGAATAAATAATATTATTATATAATTTTTTAAAATAAATTTTCGTATAAGAAATGAAATGAATTTGTGATTTTCTCTTTTCGAAAGAAGCGGAAAACTCTAGTAGGTTTTATTTAATATTCTCTTGCATTCTTGATGTTTACAGAATCACGAAAAAGCATGCTGTGGTGGCTTCTAGTTTTTTTTTTTTTAGCGAAAGGGCAGCAAGAAAGACCCGAAGGTCATTCTTTCTAATTTTTTAAATCTTTCCGTTTTAAACATCCCTTTATTCCTGGTAAAGGGCCGTGTTTGAACTGCGTAACTACATACATATGTAGCTAAATTGATACTCCGTTGCTGATGCTCAGCTGTTACTTTGCTGCAATACTGCAGTAATTCTTTCGCGCAGAAGTTAAAAATTTCAACGTATATAATTGCTGACGAAATGTTGGAAAATGGAGGTTTCAATTTCATGAAAAATACGAACAAAAGAGGGCAAAGAAGATGCAGAYGTAATCGGTTATTGTCTAAAGAAGACTACGAAAAAGAGTGGTGAGAAAATTAAAAGAATTTGTATATCCATATATTGATTTTTACCCTAATGACATTGCATTAATACACTATATGAAATATAAAATAAATATTTAATACACAATGCACTTACAATTCCTTCTCCATCTTATCGCGCATTCAAAATGTTTAGCTTGCGTTTGATGCGCTATTGATGCGCAACAGTTTATGTTAATTTGGCAATATTGCTCGAACTTTCGCGAGGAACATGATGCTTTCGCATCAAAAGCAACACCGTCCCAGTAATTTCACAATGAAAGCACTACACATATGCAAATAGTAACATATATTTATTTAAAAATGGGCTTCTTAGAGGTGTATATGTATCTATTCAATCATCCTGCCWTTTATATAATATATTGTGTAGTTGAAAAAGTCTTTTCGTCTTTTTAATCAAACTTCAACTGATCATTTTATAGACATTACTCATCATTATATTTTAGACATCCTTAACATTATTCATCAGTGTAAATCGAAATTTCGAAATTTGCAGGATGGAAGCGAGCGAACCATTGCTTTTTACACGAACTGAGGTACAGCATCTTCTCCGTAAACTTCACAAATTTCATTGTTCCCTTTTTAATTTAAAATTTCTTCATTATTTTCACTCATTTTTGAACAGCTGTAACTTCTTTCAACTTCCCCGAATTTTATTTGTATACCCTTAAGAGGATATATTAAGTTTGCCACAAAGTTTGTAACACCCAGAAGGAAGCGTCGCAGGCCATAAAAAGTATACATAGAAATGATTAGTAYGTTGAGCTGAGCCGATTTAGCTATGCCCGTCTGTCTGCCTGTCCGTCCGTCTGTCTGTATATATACGAACTAGTCCCTCAGTTCTTAAGATATCGTTTTGAAATTTAGCTAACGTAATTTTTTCTTCAAGAAGCTACTCATTTGTCGGAACTGCCGATATCGGACCACTATAACATATAGCTGCCATACAAGCCGAACAATCGTAACYGAGTTCTTGTATGGCAAGCTCTCACATTTTACAATGTATTTTCTCAAAAGTTGCCACAAGTTATGTTCTAAGGCAACCATGTAATCTCCGAAGAAATCGTTCAGATCGGMYYACTATARCATATAGCTGCCATACAARCYGAACGATCGGAATCAATGGYTTGTYTGGAAAACTTTTGCATTTGACAAAATATATTCACGAAATTTGTTATAGATCATTTTCTAAGGCAACAATGTAATCTCCGAAGAAATCGTTCAGATCGGACCACTATAACATATAGCTGCCATACAAGCTGAACRATCGTAATCAAGTTCTTGTATGGAAAACTTTCACACTTGAAGTGGTATCTTCACGAAACTTGACATGGATTACTGCTTAAGATAATAACATAATCTCCGAAAAAATTGTTCAGATCGGTTAACTATAKCATATAGCTGCCATACAAACTGGACACATAGTAACTAAAAGAGATGAACCTGTGAAGGGTATATTGGCTTCGGTGCAACCCAAGTTAACGTTTTTTCTTGTTTTTTTATTAAATGAAGCTTAAAATCTCACCTTTCCAACACTATATGGTAGCACACTATGTGATTGGTAGCACTGGAGATATATAGTACGACTGCGACGACATCTATTGACAAAATACGAAAATACTTTTTCGACCACCCAATATATATATATTTTTTCAATATCATACCAACAATACTCACCCGACTTTGATTTCAAACAATTTCAAAAATCATAAATACTATTTTAATTTTGGTATATGCATTTATTGTTAATTTATATATCTCAATTTCTTTCATTTAGTCTAATATGACGTCTCTGCCACAATACTCGTACAATAGTCGCAATAATTATTCTTTGCATTACATAGTTATTATCATTTACACTCACATCCACAGCGTTTTTTGTCTCATTTTGTTATTGTTTTTTTTTTTTTTTTTTAAATATATTTTTCTTGTTTTTGGTTTTGTTTTACATGTTATATTACAATTAGGTTAACCGGGAGCTAACGTCTGTTACTGTTCCTTAACTTCACTGTTTCCTTTACTCATCATTATCTACAATAATTACTTACATACATAACTAATGCTCAATACCAATACTTAGTAATTATCACGCCGCTACGCCGCCAATTCACTTTGCTTTTTGTTAGCTGCTCGCAAATAATAAGCCAATATTTATATCATATTTACAACGGTAATTTTGTACAGTAACGCGACCAAGGCCAGGTAATTGCACACAAAAACATTTTACTGCCAATTTGTACGCCGAACTTGTTTTTGTAATTACTGCGAACTCGCCCGAATGAATTGCATTACATAACGGTCTTGTAGTCTCAAATTGTGGCATTAGCGCACACACATACCCAATTTAGTGAAACGAGTAACACAAAAGCCGAAAATATGTTTGCTTGTATGCTTGTATGTAGTACATAGACTTGCTGACATTTTGGTTTAAAATAATTTGATTAAATTTTTCTTTGTTTTTGTTGTAATTTCAATTTGAATTTTCACCATTTTTTTATACATAAATACATAATTTTTTTTTTACATTTGTATAAGTAGCTGTTATTTACAAGCGGCTAAACTACATTATGTGCTTGTCTGTAAATATTTTTTTTGTATTTTACTACACGCCCGCTCTCTCTCTCTCTCTTTCTTTCTCGCTTTATTTATAGGTTATAACTGTATTTATTAAGTTCCTGTTTGGTTTGGTACTGGTTATTGATACTTTGTTGCATTTTCAAGTCCATTTTTATTGTTACTTATGTACATATGTATGTATGTATATATGTATGTATATGTATATGTAATTAATTAGTATTTAGCTTTATAAAAATATTAGAACGCTCTCTCTTAGTGTCAACAAAGTGTATGAAAACGGGAAACTTTCTTCAAAACATTTGCTTGCTGCTGCAGCCGTTTCTTACACATTTTACAAAGCGTTGTCTGCTTTACGGCGCGCGTCGCTACAGCGGCATGCCTGAGACACACTGYAGTGAGCTGCTTAACGGGCGCATGCTTAGCCGCATGCTAATGCACTCATTTGGGTTCGATGATGCCCAGTTTGGCGAGATTGCCGAGTGTTGTCGGGTCGCCAGGCTGCAAGCGTAAGGCTTCTTGGTAACTGTGGGCCGCGTGCTTGGTGCGTCCCAGCAGATGTAGTATGGCGCCCAGATTGGTGTGCGCATGCGCGTCATTGGGACGCATCGCTACCGCCTGCAAACGAGAGAGCAGCGTGGAAGAAAGTGAAAAACATTATATAATATATTTATCTATGTCTGTGTGTGTATGTAATAGGTGTACAACTACGTTCTCGCTGTTTTTTTTTTTTAAATCAAATGCAATTTTTTTTTAAGGAAATGATTAAAAATTAATTTTTCGAAAAATTATTGACCTCAAAAACCGCGCCGCTAGTTATGCTGGATAAGGAAGCGAAGCAAATGGGTTTGGCAATGAACGAGGGCAAGACGAAATATTTCCTGTCATCAAACAAACAGTCGTCACACTAGCGACTGGGCCCCACGTCACTGCTGACAGTTATCACTTCGAAGTCGTAAATAATTTTGTCTATCTTGCTAACATATGCTATTTCGGACGGAGTAGGCAATTGAGAAGTAAAGTCCGCTCTCGACGAACAAAGACCCAACTTTATAAGTCACTCATTATTCCGGTTGCAGAGTCATGGACGATGACAAYAGCTGATGAGTCGACGTTACGACTTTTCGAGAGAAAGGCTCTGCGAGAGATTTATGGATGATAACGCTTCAGGTCTGACAGTAATTGACGCAGTAMCCGCCGGGGGAAAYAGCGGAAAATGCTAGGTGGAGAAATATCTGGCCTCGCCAATTGGCGGTAAGCAGCAAAAAGAAAAAACGATTGAGACGCCTTTGTTAACTCGGCTRAAGCCGTGCAAGCGGTATCTATGACAGTAAAGAAGAAGCCTCTACATAGTCTTAAYTTTTTCTTATCTTTCTGGGAAAGCTGAAATACCATTACCGTAAACTGTTCAGCCTGTATTGCTATCCAAAAATCAAGCCATTATTCGTTGCTGTCTTGTGAGTGGCACTGCTTCTGACCAGATCACGTGCCATCGTACGGAACAAATAATAAGCGGCCGGTGTAATATCAGGAGAATAAAGCGGGTGGGTTAGAATCTCCCTTTTAAGCGTGTACAGGCAGGTTTTAACTGATTTGGCAGCGTGAGGCCGAGTGTTGTTATGAAGCAGAGCCACTTTTTCGTGCCTCTCATGATATTGAAGTCATAAGGAACCTAGGTTCCTGGTTTCTGCTTAATTTCCAGCACTTATAGTCGACTTAAAATGTCTTGGCCGGTTACTTCCAATGCTGAAACAAGCTGTGTTCTAGTTTGACACAAATGCTCAACGAACAACATCTTCAATTCAACGCCTTTGTAAGTTGGTGTCATTTCTACACGCGGACGCTCGTTAATATCGAAATCGGCATCTTTGAAGCGACAAAATCAACCTTGCTGGGACGTGTTTGCTCAACCAAAAGTATATGGCGTATAAACAAAGCCACTAAACTGGGACAAGTTTATCATGTTTTGGGTCATCAAATCAAAATCGCTCACCACTAATGGCTGSAGTCATGTACTCGTATTAACAAACAGCTGGTGCTTAGTTGCGCACTCAATATATTATACAGTTAAATCTAGTTTCAAGCGGTATTTTGTTTTTTTCTTCAGCTATTTGACTCACCTTGCGGTACCAGCTTTCCGCTTCCGCTTTGCGTTCGGACAGGCGCAACGCCGTGGCGGCCGCCACCACCAAGGCATAGTCGTCGGGCGCGAGCTCGGCGGCGCGTATGCGATAAAAGATCGCTTCTTCACTGCGTGATTGGGAGGTGAGGAACTCCGCTGTGAGATAGAGAAAAAACAGATAGTTCACATTAGGCATATGCTTGACATGCTTTTAATGACAGGTGACAGCGCGTGCATTGCAACGCATAGCGCTCTATATATTATATCTAACAACACTTTAATACTGAAGAAAGTTAATACACGAAATAATAGTTTAAAGAAATTGCTTCAATACTAACCGTAATAGTGATGCGCGCTCGACTGCTGTGGCGCCAACTGTAAAGCGCGCTTAAACCACACTTCCGCCTCAGCAGCGCGGCTGCTCTGTAAATACAAACAAAACACATTTATGCCGAATAAATCATTGCGCGACAATAGATAAAAAAAAATCGAAAATTATCTATATAGTATATGAAATCTATGCCGCCTCACTTCCACTTACATTGCGCGCCAGCGTTATGCCGTACGAGAGATGTGCCGCCACTTGATTGGGTTGCAATTGCAACGCCGCATAGTGATAACGCTCCGCTTCGTTCCATTGCTGCAGGCGTCCGAAAACGTCGCCGATGCGGTTATAAAGTAYGTCGCGCTGATAGTACGTCGAGGGCAGCGCATGCAGCGCTTCGCGGTAAACGGCCAGCGCTCGCTGCAGCTTACCTTGCTCGGCGTAGAGCGCACCCAGCTGTAGGTAGGACGAGATGCGTGCATTGTCATGTGCTGTGCGATCACGTACACCGGTGCCGTGCAGCTGAGTGCCCTCTTTCAGGATTTGTGCCGCCTCGCGACATCTGCCCAGAGCGATAAGTGATGCGCCCAAATTTAGGAACGCCACTGCGGTTATACARAAAATAAATATTTATGTACGTTTGTTACTACGAATTCGTTAAACATTAAATAATTAATAGGAGCAATGAAATAATGACATATATGTAGGTGGAAAGATATAGGGAAATATGTCAACTATTGGAAGTTTTAAGTAGGATATTTTGTGGTGCTAAGAGCTTTAACACAACAAAACTTGGAATAATTTGGTGTGTTATAATTTACCTGCTAAATTTGGTCGAAACTGTATCGCTTTTCGAAAGCACTCCACCGCAGCCTTGTGATTTTGTTGATTTTGATATAAAATTCCCCTGAAAACAAGAAAAAAAAGAGATTGATTAAAATTATCGTGTGTATATACTAGTGTGTTTTTTATTTTTTGAACTATTAATTTTTTTCAATCCCGTCACGAAATTTCCTTAGAAATACCCTAAAAAAAGTTGTCTGAAAGTTTTAGCCTTTAATATGAACATTAAGAACTGGACCAAGGCATCTAAAAATTTTCCATTGAAAATACACTACAATCGTGATTTTTTATCTTTAAATTCCTACAGGTCAGAGGTATTTTATGGCATAGCTTTGACTTTAGACGCATATTTCTCAGAATCGTTCACCCTACAAACAGTGCAAAAAAACACCGGCAAGGTAGTACAGGGCTCTAAACCCGATTTTTCTACGAATTTCGCATTTTTTTTGTTTATATCTCGTAAATGCCTGGAGCTATAGAAAAAATGTTTATGACAAATTTGTAGGAAATTTTATTTGCTATAAAAAGTTTCGAGGTAAAAATCACTTTTAAGACAAACTTATATCTCAAAGAGGGACATTCTTGGCTTGTCGCGTGCGTAAACGAGCAAATCGATAAATTTAGGGAGTGAAAAGTTCTTAAGAACCCCATTTGACCCGCTCTCTACAGCCAAMCTACATTTAATTTTTCTTTCCAAGCTGAAGACATAATCAAAAATACAAGTAACATGCTGGAAAAAATCGGTGTAGAATTTATTGGACAGGATCGTCTGCCTAAGGGACCAACGCGATGGTCTTAGGTTCGAAATTCTGCTCGAAAATCATATAGCTATTATAATAAGGAACAATATATTTTCTCAACTACTTTCAGTAGCCATTATAAAACTCGATCTCAAACTAATCATAGAATATCGGCCAACTTAAAGGTAATGCCGGTAAAAAGAATTTGGACGAGGCTTAATAGAGTCAAGTTAACYACTAAGGATCATATTGGAATTTGGAGTATTTTGGCACAGTGTGCTGAGGTGGAAACTCAATGTGGGAGAGAAGGTGACAAAGTAAAAGAGGGTGCTTGATAAGGGGGTACGAGACTTTCAACATTTGCAACGGATAAAAATSGTCGATGAAGTGGCCATGCGGAGTTAGATCTCAGTAAACTTTTCAAGCTACAGGACTTAAAAATCGATTCAGATAGCTTACAACGTAGGAAACAAAAGATGATCAACATAGAGAATATGCTTAGAGTGGGGAGGCAATATATATGGTGGTTACCGAAAAAGCATTGCATATTTACTGGGTTCCAGGCCACAAGTGCTTTCCGGGGAACGAAATAGCTGATGATATTGCCAAAAGTGCCATTCACTTTTGTACCGAACGACTTTAGGAACAACGCTGACAAACGGTTCAGAGTGAGATGGAATACCAAGGCGCATGCAGCATYTCCAGAATCATTTGCAAGGGAGCGGGAAAACAGCCAAGATTTTTAACTACACGGTCTAGGAAAGATTGCAGGACGTTTGCTGGCCTAGTAAGAGGTCACAACTTACTGATCTCATATGACGGACCTATTTCATAGGAAAATGGGCGTGGGAAAGTCCCAAGAACACTTTCTCTGTTTCTGTCCGGCTTTATCTAGAACTCAACTCATATATTTAGCAGCTTCGTAGTTMAAGGGACTGAGCATCTTGGGTCCGTATCTTGTGTAATAAACGCAATCTGCCTGATATATTTTCACTACAACTTAGACCATTGGCAATGTTATCCTTACACATTAATTAGCTGTTTTAATTCGTCACTTTCAGTACTGTCCACTTGATGGACGAGTAGGTCCTTGTTGYACCAATAATTTGGTGTGGAATTCGTGACGAAAGAGAGACATTGTCGTCGAGTCGAAAAGTTCGATGTTGTTATGATAGACGGAAGACACGTCTCCAGTGCTTTAGACATGCGTAYGCTCCGAAGTCCTAATGTCGACTCGTGAGATAGTAATTTTGCAGCAAAAAACGTACGTAAACAAACACAAGGAAGGTTAGATGTCGGGAAGCTGCAATCACAACAGATAGCCGGMCGATTTTCTACTAGACTTGCTCTCAAGCTTCTTAYGTACAGCTGCAAACGAAACCATTTGTTTTCGGAGAACGCATGAGGAGTGTCGTATTGTAGTGGAGAGAAAACACAGACTAACTACATCGCAACGTTACAATCGATCACAACAAAGTTGKAATGGAATAAATATCGASAGCTGAAGAARGAAGCGAGACGCATTTGAAGACAAAGAAAGAGAGAAGTTGAAATATGTGATTACGAAGAGCTTGACACGCTGGTCGAGAGAGGTAATGCTCGAACATTCTACGAAAAGATGCGCCGACTAACAGAAAATTTCAAGAACAGWATATWTYCTTTTAGAACCCTCAGRSGTGATCTAGTGCCTATTGCTCAGATCATCAGGTGGAGAAGAACMKGGCTGTACTTGGCGCCACATTGTGAAAAGAAGAAACGAATTGCGCGCTGTTGTTATCATTTCTATAACCGCCTAAGCGGTATTTACGACACTAAAGAAGAAGAAGAAGTAAGTTTRCATTTAAMTATAAATTTACATATCTATATAGTTTTGATATCCTTTGTKAAATAGTGCAATGAATTTAAGTAATGCTTTGTGATGGAGCCTAAGTCACGTAAATCAAATTAATCGAAATATAGCTTCCCTAAAGTTATCGATGAAATAACCGCTGATGGTAGCAAAGGTTTTCTATCCGCTTTGGCAAAATCGGAGAGAATATATGTATGTATATTTATGAGAAAGGTGCTAGTAAATGGCGTACTAAGATGAAGTCAGCCGTTATTAGTTCAAATAATGGCTGCCCTCGATATGCGGAATCTTGGCGTGTGGCGAATCGAACAAGCAATCCAAAAAACGATACAGTTAAGGTTGTAAAGGAATTTACCACTTTAATTACGTATCTAAATATGTGGTCTCCTGATATTATATCAATTGATTCGTTGCTTTGATACGTGAATTGAGTCTATATATGTGAGTAGATCCACTCTCAAAAGTAGCGAGCAATGGAGTGGCGAATCGAAAGGCGCTAATGTAATTACAGTTCTTGCAGAGTTCTCAGCAGTAATTTACGCTGAATTCCAAATATCATTGATCCATTATAATATCCAAAAATGCAGTTTTCACGTTACTTTCTAAAAGAAATATCAGCCTTAGTCAAATTTAAGCAGCAACCAGACAAAGTTTGCGCAATTTAAAAGCAGCCATCTCTTGAATGGCATTTTGTCGRTAATGCAATACAAATCCGGTTAATTAAATCAACAAAAGTTGTGTAAAACAAAATTAGGTACACCAAACAAGCAATCCTCAATTACCGCTCAAATTAGTGCATTCAAGCAGCAATTGTTTGAATTTCGAATCATTCAAGAAAAAACTAGCGCAAGCAAAGAGCGTCCAACACAACTCTCTAACTCAACAATGTGCAGTTATTTACACTGATTCCAATATACATACATATACCCATATTGTGTGTACGTGTGTTGGTATCGGGCAAATAAATACCGCCGAACACTTTTGAAGTGTGGCCACAATGCAATGAGTTGCAACCGATAAGAAGAAGAACAAGAAGGAAAAATGCCAAATACAAAACAACAACAACGAAAACATGCAAATAAGAGCGAAAAATTCCGAGGCGCAAAGTTCTGTGTGTGTTTTTCRGTAGCGCCAAAGCGCAGCAAGAGTTATAGTGATTGCCGCTGATTTCGCTGAGCTGCATGTAGTTAGCTGTACATGGCGCGATGCCGAGTACGGTTTAATCGCGGAGGCGCTGTTGCAAGGCTACAAGCACAACGCGCCACTAAATGCGCTGAATGCCGCTGTGTTGGCAATCACAAGCAGATTTCCATTTCAGTGAGCGGAGCGCTAGTGTAACGCCAGCGCCGCCGTGCCGCTGGAGCTTGGTGTTAGTTGGTTGTTCCTATATTGTGTTGGCTTGGCTGGCACCTTTCGCAAGTACACTTTCACATAAGCAAAGGAGCGCTAGCCGAGCGTCACACAAAGAAAAGCTGCGCTAGACTCAATAGCAGCGAGCGCAAATGAGCAAAGGAGGCGGGGTGGGGTGGGGTGAGGAGTAGTTTAAATTCACAAATAAAGGATATTAAATTCGCAAATAAACATAAACACTGCAGCGTATAGCATCACATAGCATAGTATAACAGCGAATTTGCAAAACAAACGAACCGACGGACGGACGGACGGACGCACGGTTGGAGAGTTGTGAGTGGCAAGTGCGCAGCGGATTAAGGCAGCCAGTAGCAGTCTTGGCGGAGTAGTGAATTATTTGCTTTGTTGTTGTTGTTACGGTTTATTGTTGTTGTACTTATCGTTGTTGCTGTTTTTCTTCTTGTTGTTTTTATTTTTGTTGCTGTTTGTAACGTTGTTGTTGTTGTTTTTATTTTTATGGTTGTTGTTGTTTCTTCACTGTCCTTGTTAATTTTTTCTTATTTTGTTGTTCTTGTTTTTTCTTGCTTTTGTTATTGCTTTTATTTTTCTCACTGTTGTTGTTTTCTCATTGTTGTTGTTTTTTCCTAGTTCTTGTTTTTCCTGTTTTTTCTTCTTGTTGTTCTTATTTTCCTATTGTTTTTGTTGTTTGGTGGCTGTGCGCTTGGCAGCTTTTACTCTTCACTGTTACTTCTTTTTCACCGTTATTTCTTTTTCTTGATTTTTCCACTTGCAATTTCCTCAAATTGTTTGTGCTAAAGAAGGAGGAATGCATCAGCCAGCAAAAGCAGAAATAAACTAGCAACTTTGTTGCTGCGATTTTGTTGCAAAGAAACGAAGAAGAAGTTGCTACTTAYCGGCTACAATTTCTTAGCTTCATTGTTTCGCGTTTAATGTGTGTGAATTGAAGTTGTGCTGTTCACTTACAACTTCCTTTTCCGGTGCAGAAACTACAGGTTGTTGTTGTTATTTCATTCGGTTTTGCTGTTGCTGTTGTTGTTGGCATTGCATGGTGGTGGCATATACGAGGGTGACCCAAAAATTCATAAAATTTTTTCAAAACTAGCG